GAATTTAAATCCCAGGCTCTATTTCAAGCTCTGGAGGACTGTACATTGTTAAAAGATCCTTCTGCTCCAAAATTTTCATCCTGTCATTTTAATCAGCAAGTCTGCTCTAAGGTCCAAGTCCTCAAACAGGCAGCTGTTGAGGACTTCTTATTTACTCAGTAACAAAGACCACTCTTGCTCACCCCAAAAATCTTCCTTTTTCAGATGTGTTACAAGGACATTTCCCGGCAGATAAGAAACAGACACACTTCTACACTAATTCCTTCCTAATTCCATAGGGAGAAATTTATCTGACGTAAACAGAGCTGCAATACAGAAAGTACTGCAGTCTACTGGCAACTGTGTAAGTAGCTGACAAGTTTCATCCTTCTACATTCATTTCCATATGAACTCTACTAGCTTCAGAACAGCATTTGTAAGGTTTAAATGAACACACTTAATGCTTGCCTCAGTTCTAAATGCTAAATCCTCTAGAAAACTAACAGTTCATCCTGAAAACAAGTAATTTGCGTCTACAGGATTTAATCTTTTCCATTACAAAAGGTACTGTTAGCTTTGCAGTTACCATCTGTTGGAGAATTGACCTCTGTTCTAACTTTTGATTTTTCAAGATCTTCTTTGTATTCTTTCTTCAATTGTTTCACAATCTTTTTGCTGTAACTTGACTTCTTCACTTTAAAAACTTCTTCAGTTTCTTTAAAAGAGAAGTTGGAAAACATTACATTAGACCTGCCAAGAAGTATACTGACCTATTAAATCTGTTAATTTTGCACCCAGAACTTAGTAAATGCCACTAACAACATAATTTAAGGTGACGTTGTATTTGTACTGTTGCAACAAAACCAGTCCGATATCCTTTCATGTGGACTCATGTCTACCCCATTTTTTTTGTGGTCATTTTCATGTGTATGCATCCCACTCACAGCACAGATACAGAAAATAAGGCAGAAGTTACACAACAGGGTACATACATGGCCTGCTTTTATCTAACTGTAGAAACCTTCTTTTTAAAACCAAAACCCAGCTGATCCTTCACTGTTACCATGCGTTTTGGAAGAAAACAACATGAAGCCACAATATTTTGGGTCAAGTCTTTTCATAGCCACACATATGCACAAATAATGAGTAAGGGAATGGCTGGTGTTGGCTGTACTACCAGTTCAAATGTCTGCAGCACTACAACCTACCAAAAGGTATGCAGTAAGTTTAAGAACTAAATAGCACAGGGGAAAAAAAAAATAAAATAAAGAAATCAATCAAAGTTTAATGTAGGAAACCCACAAGTGTTTGGGTGTTTTTAAGTCTATAGTGTGATTCCATGTTTCCAGTATTTCTGTCACGATTTCAAACCACCAGTCTTAAAATCCATGTCCCAATGATTACAATACAATTCCTTCTAAGAAACTTCAAAATGCATATTAACTCTCCTGCTGACAAAAGGTGTAAGAAAAATATGTTCCTCATTTTATTCATCCCGAACTTCTGGGATGCCACAAACTCTGGAGTTTGAGGAGTGTTTTTTGATAATTTTCAATATGTAGTAATCATTATCCATAGTCAGACTGAGTATGAACAGACCAATTCATGAGTATGGTACCTGCTGGAACCCAGCAAAATTATTAGCTAAAGCACTGTACAATTATGTTATTTTTACAAAAGCTCTGGTTCAGAAACTGCTCAGCCACTTCTTCCACCATTTGTGAAGGTTAACCTAACAAAACCTCGTTGGCAGCTTCAACAGGCAGTCCAACCTGTGCACACCAGCACATCAGATGAAAACAAACTCGACACCAAGCTGCCAGAAAGATGCCCCAGCCAGCACTGCCGGTTCTGCGGCAGACGAGGAGGGCTGCACAAGCGATGGGCCCTGTACAGCGTACTGCACAAACCCAGGTGAAGCCACACGGGTGCAACAGGCACGAACCGGCAACACCGAAGCAGGAACAATCTGCCCCATTAAACCGGAATTAAACACTCGGGGACACCACCCCGGTGCTGGGAGCACGCTGGCCCCGCAGGAGCCGGGTCGCGCTCGGGGCCGAAGGCGACTGCCGATGCTCCCTGCCCCTCCTCACCACGTCCTCCAGGGCTCTACCCCTCTGGTGCACCCCCATCGCCCCCATCCCACACGGGGCAGCCCCACTGCCTTACAAATACATAAACCAAGAGGCCCGCTCTCCCGCGGGGTGGTGCAGGCTGCCTGGGCCCCTTCCAGCCCCAAAAGGCGGGCAGCCGTTTCGCCTCACCCTCCTCCTCATCCTGGAAGCTGAGCAGGCTGGCCCGAGGGACCTCTTTGTTCTCCCGCGTCCGCTTCTTCTCCTTGGGACGCCCAGGCCCTGGCAGCCCGTTGCCCTGCTGTTGCTGCGGCGGTGGCGGCGGCGGGGGGGGCAGGAAGGCGGACGCCGACAGAGCCCCCAGGCTTGTCCTATCGCCTCCCGCCAGGCTCAGCCCCAAGCCCAGAGCCGCACCGTAGCTCGCGGCGCAGGCGAAGGCCGCGGGGCTGCCGGGCAAGGCGAGGGGCACGCAGCCGGCGGGCAGCGGCAGGAGCCCGGGGCCCGCCGCCAGCGCCATGGAGGCCTCGCCGGCTCCTTCCTCTACCACCCCGGCCGCCGGCGCCGGTTCCTGAGACGGCTCCTCGTCGCGCTCCTCATCCTCGTCCTCCGACTCGTTCCGTTTCCGCACGTTCACTCTCCGCGCCTTGCGGAACATCCCGCCAGATACCGACCCCCCTGCACTGCACCGCTCCGACGCCGCTCGCTCCCGCCACCCCGCGCCGCGGCCCAGGCCCGGCTCTCCGAGCATGATAGCAGTCTCAAGGGCGGCCACAGCGTCCCCTACCGGCCGCTGCCCGCCGCCGCCAGCCTGCCAACGGCAAGCGGCCTCCCGACCATAGAGAGGCACCGAGGTCGGCGGATAGAGTGTGCACGGCTGGGAGCGTAGAGAGTCTGGCTAGAGCAACCCGCCTCGCTGCTCGCCACTCCTTCCCCTTGCTTTCCGGGTGCCGGTGGTGCCGCCATGTTGTGGCACCCGCCAGAGGCGTTCCGTGGGGGTTGCGCTATGGCGGAGGTGGGAGGCATCGTGGCTGATGCTTCCCGGTTAAGGCACAGGGTGTTCCCCGGGCAAGGGAACGCCGAGCCTCGGCCTCCTCGTCCCCGCCTGTGTGGGCACGTTGTCCGCAACCAGCCTGTGGATGGCGGCGGCCATCCGGAGAAATCGTACAGCACCTATCCCTCGCCGTATCCTCGGCGGGCGGGGTGCTCGCCTCAGCCGGGTCTCGGCCCTCGGCTCTTGCACGGGTTGTGCGGGACAGCCCCTGCTCTTCCTGAGGAGATCGTGGCTTCTGGCCGGGACGGGCGAAACAATGTGGGCTCGTCACCAGTTCTGAATAGTAGAGTCTTTCATGTGTTGGGCTGTTTGAGTTCGGTTCGCCTGTGCTGGGGACAGCATCAGAAGTCGGTCGAACCGGTCTCAGTGGCCACTGTTGGCTAGAAGAAAAGATACGAGCTTGGTGGACGATGCCAGAAAATCGGTGGTATTTTAAAGGCACCCTCCCCAAGTACAAGTGCTGGGACCTGGAGGGACTCTTCAGCCTTCCCACCATACCAGGAGGCGCAGACTATGCTGCAGCATCCCCCCAATCCCCGCCAGCCGGCTGGAGGTCTGCCTAGGAGAAGATGCCGGGGGCTGGCTGGTGTCCTGCATCCTCTCACTGTGGCTGCACAGCGAAATCTCCCATAGGAATAAACATCACAGAATGGTTTGGGTTGGAGGGACCTTAAAGCTCATCCAGTTCCAACCCCGTGCCACGGGCAGGGACACCTTCCACCATACCAGGCTGCTCCAAGCCCCATCCAGCCTGGCCTTGTACACTGCCAGGGATGGGGCAGCCACAGCTTCTGTGGGCAACCTGTGACAGTGCCTCACCACCCTCATAGGGGGGAGTTTCTTCTTAATATCTAATCACATCACTTGTGCTGTTCTCAATCTGTTCTGACTCCCCAAAGTCACACCAGAATTACTGGTAGGAAGGAAAACTAAATTTACAACTGCTATCTCCATTTTTTTTTGTCTGATACAACCCCCCTCCCCCTCAGTTTCCATTGATTGGCATATCCAGTAATTGTTAAAGGCTGAGAAATACGTACAGGTTGAACTTCCATACATGGAGAATGAAACCTTTGTGTATATAAATATTAACTGCTATAAATATATAATCAAATGCTCTACAGTGTTAAGTGTGAGTATCTTACACTGGGATTTAAAACAGATTCACAAAATCACGTAATTGTTTCTGCAGAGTGATGCTTAATGTACCACTGTATGTAGTTCACAGGCAGGTAAAAGAAACCTGTGCCAACAGAGCTAGTAACATTCACAACAATTGTGGAACAGGTTGCCCAGAGAAGATGCGGCAGCCTGGCAGCGTTCAAGGTCAGGTTATACGGAGCTTGGGGCAACCTGGTCTAGTGGAAGGTGTCCCTGACCATGGCAGGGGGTTTGGAACAAGATGATCTTTAAGCGTCGTTCCACCCCAAACCATTCTACAATTCTGTGAGTCTAAGATACATTTTATACGAACAGGGGAGTTGAAAAGATCACTGCAGCATTGGTGCTGTGGTTTTCTGCTGCACATGTAATTGAGAGGAGGATTTTTTCCTGATTGCAGCAAAATCTCTGCAGTGCTTAATTGGACGCAGGAGTAAAAGGTCTTCTGCGTCAGTTTTACTCACAACACTACAGTGGCAAAGCTAAAAAACTGTAGTTTGCAGTGTTTAAAAGCCCATGGAATTATTAATCATAAGGTTTCTTCCCAACATTCTCGTTTACTAGTGCAGGTGTGAATTTTGCACAGTAGCAGCAGCCAGACTGCTGTCAGAGCAGTGTGAAAGTACTGTGCTATTCGGCACATTGTTTACTAGAGGGCAGCAGAGCCTCAGTGAATTCGCTGAAGCTCATTTAGGTTTGATGAGAGCATTGACAATATTCAGAAATCAGTAAACTTGTGTGTGCCAGCTCTGGTTTTTATTTACAATAGTATTCTGTGCACGATTAGTGACTAGCCAGTTTGTGAAGGCAAGGTTAGTGTTCTTGGAGGCACTTGGAGCATGGGATGCCTGGGGGAGACATTAAGAATGGTTTGCCTGTGTCTGTATTACATTCCAGGCATGTAACGTGCCCAGAACACCACCACCCCACTGTCACCAATCTCTGTCAGCCCAGCTCCTGCTCCTGTCATGACACAGTTGTGAGAGGTATCACCAGAAATATCTATGATGTGGGAAGAAGGCTTGCAATTTGTTGCCCAGGTGCTGACAAAGGAAATAAGGGCTTTACAACAGCTGATTTTATAGTTGTCTGGTTGAGTTAAACCGAGTTCAATCCTCAGCCTTCAAACACTCATGTGCTTAAATCTGTTAATTTGCAGTTGCAAATAAACTCCATTAATTCAGTAGTTACCACATGGTTGAGTTGAGTGGGAGAACTCACAGTCATGGAAGGTGTGCATGTATTTAAGTATTCTGGAAGATTAAGTTTTGCTTCCTGGCAAAACTGCTGTGACATTGATTGCAGTTACAAAAGAAGTCCCTCTTTAAAGTTGTTGAAGCAACCTCATTGGTTCCTCAAAATCTTGATAGCCATTCCCTTCAGTACACATATTTTATCCCAGTTTCATGTAATTCTTTGCTGGCAATGACAGACTGTTAGGACTTAGTATTCCAAGGCCTGTATTGTACTATACGGATGGTTCCTGGTCTTATTTGTACCTCACAGAATGCAAATGCTGCAGAAATGGGCAAGGAGCAGACTGTGTGCTACATCAATAGTCCCAGCATATGTTTCCCTCAATGCATCTAAAAATTGTTTGCTACATGTCTGCCAGAAGCCTTGCCTCCCTTATCAGACAAGTTATTGGATGGGATTTTTCTGCTTTCTTGTAGAGGAGAACATTGACAGAGCTTGCCATTATCAAAGAAGGTGAAGTCAAGCTCCTGGCATTTGGGGAAATTGCAGGTGTCAGCACACTTCATGTGCAAGGGACAGGCATTTCCCTGGGAACACCTTTATGAGCATGGCGTCTCACCTGTCAGGTGGCCTCCTGCCCAGTGCTTTGCCATGCTTTCTTTGCCATGGCTTGGCAAAGAACATGGCTTCCTGGTCATCCTCTAAACATGCCTTTACTGGGTGCTGAGGTTGGAGGGTGTCTGCATAGCCTGTCCCTGCTTTCACAAGAGGCTGTGTCACACAGCCCCAGTAGAGGCTTCCCAGCTCTGACCACGTACCAGAGGGTAAGGACACCTCTGCACTCCTAGTTTGAGTAACCTGTAACCACCTCACACACATTGAACCTGCCAGCAGTGGGCTGTATCGACAGGGGCATGGCCAGTAGGTGGAAGGAAGGGATTATTTTCCTTGTCCCAGCACTTACTAGACTCCATACAGAGTACTGCAGGCAGTTCTGCCCCTCCTAGTGCAAGAAAGATATGGATCAACCGAAGCAGTCCAGTGGAGAGGCATCAAGATGGTCAGTCCGTGGCTGGTGCATGTGACATTGAGAACAGTGTGAGGGATCTGGGCTTGCTCAGTCTGAAGAAGAGGAGGCTGGGGTCCATCCATGGAAAAAAGTTTCCCCAAGAGGACAGGCAGGCAGTGGAGCAGGTTGCCCAATGAGGTTGTGCAGGCTCCATCCTTGGGTTTTGGGACCTGACTGCAGAACCCCCTGAGAAGCCTGATCCCAGAGGTGGCTCTCCTTGGGGCAGGCAGTTGCGCTGGAGACCTCCTGAGCTGCCAGCTAACCGCAGTGACTCTCTGGGAGGCTCAGGTTCCTTTACAACTGGAGATAACATGGTTATGTCTTTTTCTGTCTGAGGTGCAACCTTAGAACAAAACTTGTCTGTAGATATCAATTCTCAGCGTACAATATATAGAAAGAATTTGTATCAATGCTTTCTAAAACAGTCATTTCACATTTTCTTTGTTCTTTAAGAAGGCATTTACTAAATCAGTCTGAGTCTGTCTGTCTTAAAACACCTCCTTGTAGAGTGCTATCACAGTCAGAACTGTTCATCGCCTAACAGCTCCTCCTGGCCAAACGAGACAGACTTAAAGAAGTCTTGTCAGTCTCTTAGCAGTCTAACATGCCTCTGACTACTGAATATGTCAAATAACTCAGTAAATGAATGTTACAACATAGCTCTTGTTATCTGAGGTTGAGGAAACATCAGAGTACAGCAGGCTGGGAAAGTGCTCCATGATACTAGAGACGTTTTCCACACTGTATGACTTCAGCAAAGAATATCCATTGAAAAGAGAGGTATCCAGAAAAGAAATATGTGCAAGCATTTGCCTGTCCTTGTTGTGCATTGCGAGTGAGTTTTCTTTTTCATTGTTGCTGCTGCTGTAGATGGTTACACTCTGCTCTGGAAACAGTCCCTTGACCTTTTTTACCCGCAGCTTTCGAAGTCCCCAAATGGCCAAGTATTCTGTTGGGAGAGGAGTGGTGCCACAGAAGGACAGCTTCAAATCCCGCACCCTTGTGAAGTTGAGAAGCATCTCCAGCACAGAGGTGTCTGTGAACCAAATGGTGAGGTGGCTCTTGTAGGTAGTTTTTTCCATGGTAGAAGGCAGCACTGTTTTGCAATTGCACATCAAGTTTGCCAGGCAGTAGTCGCAGTCATGGATATCCACCGAGCAGCTGCAGTTGCGAATTGTGTTTTCCTTGGTGAAAATTAGCGTATGGTTCTTCTGACTTCTCACAAAACTGCCTGTGATGCGTATGCCAAGGAAGCCAGCCAAAAGGAGAGCCAGCCAAAAGGAGAGAGCAGAGAAGGCTATTGGCTTCATTAGTACTGGTGCCAGGTTGCCAAGTGTCTTCTCTTACTCAGTGATTTATACCACTTGGCTTTACCTACTGAAGAAAAACAATGTCTTTATTATACTGAAGACCACTCCACGGTTAATATCACTTTGCTTTTCACACTCACTCACTATCTCATCTGTTCAGAACCATATTGCAGTTTTGCAGGTTGCCCTGCATTAGAGGGGAAGCATAGATACACTGATTCAGAAAAATTAATTGTGACTCATGTTTGGGATTCTTCCTTCACTCTTCTTTTGCTCTAAATAGTTTCATATGCTTATAGGGCAGCTTGGACACCCTCTTCTCTATCCAGGCACCTCCTAAGCCTGCCCCATGTGAATGTAAGAGCAGGACTCCTCTTCCTCATTTCTCCTTTCTGCTTTCTCTTTGTCTGCTTCCCAACAGCAGATAGAGGTGGCAAATGATCCTGTTCTCCACTTCACCAAATGAGGCAGTCTGAGGGGGACTAAAGACAAGTGTTTTTTGTTTTACACCTGAATTGCTAAGTAAGGGCTGTGCTAACCTTCCCTTTAAACTGAGTGTGGGATATGCTAGGCAAAGGGAAAGAAAGAAAGAAAGGGTGGTTAAACTATATAAAGTGTAACATGTTGGAAAGTTTGTCTGATTTGACTGTAACTGTTTTGAAGCACCAAGAGACGTTAGTGTCGAATTCCTACCAAAGTTGGCAAGTCCTAGTGAAGGTAGCAGTAAGGGCATGCAGTAAGCAGAATTTGGTCCTTAGCATGTGAAAAAATTGATCCATGTCCAGAATGCATATCTCCTCACCTCAGAAAACATGGCAATACACCTGCAGTTTTGGAGAAACATACCAGACAAACAGGACAATAATAGCATTTAGAATAAAAACAGAAATTGGTTTTGTCTGTTATTCAATCTCCCGTCATTACACAATGGAATCTTCTGCTATAAACTTCATGGTCATTTAAGAGACACTTAAAGGAGAGTGTCTTTAGGAGCACACTGAAGTTCTCTTGGTCATTAGCACTATTGTATGCATGGTAGTTTACCAGGTATGTGATTTAGATCTTAATGTTTTAAGCTCAGTTCCTGATGAAAATTCAAGTGAGAGTGTCTTTTGACTAATACTAAATTTAAAAAACCCCACAAAACTGCATCATGACAGAATAGTTTGTATCCTACTTTCCACATTTCTTACTTAGATAGGGTATAGTCCTCTAGTCTACCTTTTTTCTTTGAAGTCTCCTGTGAGTGTATCTGTATAAACTGTGATGGTTTGTAAATGACCAGAGCCTTGCCATCCTTGGAATAAGGAAGAAAAGGGAAAGTTACATGCACATGCGAGAAAAATCTGCACATAAGCAATGGTAGACTCTGGGCCAGACATTGCCACTGAATCCTTTCCAGGAATGCGATCTTTAGCTTGTGATAGGCAGTTACAGCAAAACATCATCTCACTGCTTAACAGCTTCAAAAAGTAACCAAGTTATCAAGAGGTAATAGGAAAATGATGGGAGAAAAAAAGATGGTGCTGTTGAACTACTGCATAAATCACTTGTTTGCTGACACTTGCCTGTTGTTTGCAGTTCAGATCCCACCATTTCAGAAAAGATACCACAGGACTGGAGTTCAGAGAAGAGCAACAAGAGTGATGAGACATTGAAGGGCATGCCTATAAGTAAGGTGGGACTACATAAGTTAGAGCTTTAAGTGGGACAAGAGGTGGTTGAGGCAGGATGTAGTGGTGTTCTATTAAAGCACAAATAACACGGAGATGATGCGGAAAGATCAGTTTTTCACTGCTTTTCCCAAGAACAAGAGCAAGACATCTCAAATAAAACCAGTAGGGTCACACCTGACTTGCAGATCCTTAGCAAAAGATGTTGGGGGTGCAGAAGGTTTTCACCAACTCGAGGCAGGACTGGTTAAGCTCAGTGAGAAGTCCACTGTGATTATCATGTACATAGGCACTACACCTACATACAGATGACCCTGTGCTCAAAATAGTTGGAGGCAAAGAAAGCTAGAGCAGTACGTATCACTTGTTCTTGTCCTATTGAAAATCTCTCCTGCACATGGAGGTGGCTGCTCAACAGATGGCTATTTGGTCTGGCAGATTATGATTGTTCTTATGCAAGACCCATGTAATGTAAATGTAAACAAACTGACTCAAACATGATTTAATTCTGTATGTACTCCCTGAATTTGGTATGTTTTTTTCTTAAATGAAGGATACAGACATTTTAATGCTTAAATATTTAATCCATGTAGTGGAACATACCAGAAATACCAGTCCAACTCTTAGCTAATGTTTAACTTCAAAGATCAGACACATCCAAGCTGTAGCTCTTCTGGTATCATTAATTCTAGATTAATTTGGCCTCCAGTATCTAAGCATCTAATCATGCATCACCATGAAAATCCTACTACTAAACCTCCACACCATGCTTATTTTCTCAGTCATTAACCGTGGCTAACAGTTTTGATAAATCAGAAACTCGTAATATCACCACTCTTACACAACTCAGTGATATTATTTGGGTTTATCTGGTGTGGAGGTAATATTTGCAAGAAGAATTCCTAGATAATGTTAACAATATGAGTCTGAACTAAAGGAAAGAAATTTTAATTGAAGACCCAACACTTCCGCATTTCAAACTCGCACATGCATCAAAAGGGGTGATACTGCTTTTTCCACATAACGTGAAGAATTAATAGTCATAAAAACATTAGAATAAAATATTTTGATGCTTCCTCATTAGTTTTGACTCCTGATTCCTTTGCTTTCTTTCAGTGCCTGAAGAGTAGAGAACCTTTAGTTCTCCATTATCTTGCAGCCAGCCAAATAAAATTCCTTTTCAAGTTTAGCTGATAGCATTAGGGTTCCATCTGTAAAATCCAAACAAAACTCTAAATACTGGCATTCCAGGAAATGTTATCTCCAGAAATACTTGCTATCCTCTTCTGCTCCCTGCAATGCAGAAACATTCCTATAAACTCAGTTCTTAGTATTTCGTTTCTGGGTGGCTTTGGTGAGTGATATGCAAGCAATGAAATATATGTTGCAGGTTGTTTCTCCGTGAAGTGTCAAAGTCACCTGCAATGCACCTTTACTTAAGTTGCTAATTATCTACAGAAAAACGTTCATTATGTGTCTCTTAATCAAATTACTTTGCTGTCTGCACTGGTTAAGTCTTGGAAAAAGGTTGGCTTTAATTTTGGAGGTGGAGGGAGCTGCCTGCAAGGAAGAAATGAGCTAAAGCATAGATAAAACTTAACTGCGCTAGCTTGATGGTTCCAAGTTGTATCTTTTTGAATGATACCAGAAATTGTTGAACTTGTTCATTAACCAGTTGCAGTAAACTGACTTGTAAGTACATTTTGATTAAAACACAGAATGTCTCTGTAGCCTAAATGTGGTATGCACTGTAGGAGTCTTGTGCTATTGCTGAAAGCTTTGTTTAAACTTTCGAGTAAAAGAATCTGCCAGGCTGCAAGATGACTGCCAGCAGAAGTAATACCAGCTTGGGTTAATTAGAATTAGAAGTGGGAAAAAAACAAGAGGCAAGTAAAACTAGTATTGCCCCAGAGGTCTTTTCTTATGCCAGCTTTTTCTTATGCCTGGGTAAGCAGTCACTCAGCTTCACTGAGCAGTGGTAAAGTACCACCACTACATGGGAAGTACTGATAGTTGACGCAGTTTTCCTCCAAACAACTGACACTGTTTCCTCAGTGACTAGATTCCAGTTAGAGCATTAAAACACCTCAGAACAGTTTTCCTTGTAGATTCCTTTAGAAAAGTCTTTGTTGACATTGAGGGGAAGCTCTTGAATCACCCCAAATTGGAGGACTTTTTGTTATAACCAGCTCTGTTTAGATGAATAGTTGGAGAACAGGGAATAATGGTCAGCTCTAAGCACGAAAGCTTACCAGCTCTCTAACACCTAAGTAAGTCTGTAGTAAAGCATTTCTAGGAGTACCTGGACGCGGTACCTAAACCCCAGAGGACAGACTCAGCAGATGCAGGTGGGTGAGGAAGAAACAGCAGCAGCAGCCTTGATGGTGGAATAGGGAGGTAGCTGTGGGCAAAGGAGGCAGCTATGGGGGGGGGGAAAGATGGTGATAAGGGGCTGGGTGGAGGAGAGACAAGTGCAGGCCAGAGATGGGATGGAAGAATGGAGGAGGAGGAAGGAGTAGGAAGCCTTTCTTAACAAGTCAGGAAGCTCTTTAATAGGGCAGAACATACAGAAAAAGTGAACTGAGGTTCTGTGGCACTTTTTTTGATGACTTTACAAGCATGTCTTGACAGAAAGTAAAAGAGAGGAACAGCATTTCTCTAGGAGAGCCACCCATTCTGCTTCTGCTTTGGCTTGTGATTTGTGTGTTTTATATCTAGTCCAATATTTGTTGTTCAGTAATGAGTTGTTCCTTCCCTGCAAAACTGGAGAGAAGCTGGATCACAGCAGCTGCCTTGGGAGTCCTTCCAGTCTGCAATGTTGGCTTGGGGAGGGGTAAGGCAGCCACTGCTTTGGAGCTGGGATCTCTGCAATAGGGAGGGGAGAAGAGAAGCTGCATTCCCTGCCTAGCAGCAAACAGTAATCCCAATGATTTTGGGTAAATTTTGCTTGCTTCCAGTAGGAATAGCCTGCTTCTGAAACAGTTTTGAGTGATCTAAATCTGGCAAACTATTTGTTCATTTCTTTCCTGAATGGGGGACTTTTCATGTGGAAATCACACTAGACATAGGAACCAGCAGAAAATTTTTCCAGTTTGATTGCTTCAGCCATGCATGTTTTTAGACGTGTATCCTCTTTCCAACACTGAAACCCCTGTTTTATTATATTTTATACCCAAAGTTTTCTAGCACATGATTCCAGCCATGCTCCTTTTTTCTTCACAAGTTTCAATAGCTAAAGGAGATTTTCAAAGATTATTCAGTAATAGTGCCATTTCAGGTTTCTGAATTTGCTTTGATCATTCCACTAATTTTTTTTTTTTTTTTCCTAATTACAGATCTGTGTATTAAGAAAATTGCAAAAAAGCAATAAAAAGCCTTTGGCTGTTGTGTGAGAATGCTACTGTCTCAAGGAAAGTTAATCCTATTCAATGGAAGTCCAAAGCCTATATAATTAATTTCTTCACAGGGTGCTTTCTTCCATTCTTTATTCAGAAAAAAACCTAATTAAAACCCGTCATTGATCACTTGTGTTAACATGTGCCTATGTGAAAGTGCTGTATTAAGCAAAGAGGAGCTTAAATCCATATAATCTTGTGCAGCTTGAGTAATGTACACAGAATGAATACCAAAACCACCCAATTTAGATCAAAATAGCATGAAAGGCTGGGCAACGGCAAAAGCATTTAGAACTATGAAGACTGCCTCTTTCTTTTCCTCTTTCTATGCAGGTATGGGAGGGATGTGTAAAAAAAAGTAGATTGCATTTCAGAGTGAAGGTGTCAGCAAGGACATAGGTACAGTTACTCACCTGCCACTCTGGAACCTCAAAAAGAAGGCAGGGGGAGGAGTGCAGACAAGCTCCTGTTACTCTAAGGAGCAAAGCATGCTCCAGGCATACCTTCATCTGTGTACTCTTTTGGTGATGTTTAATGTTGGTCTAACCTGTAAAATGTCTGTTGAAGAAGGGGCTTTTGAAGACTGCACAGGGCTACTGGTGAGTATCTGTGCTGTGTTCTCATTGTAACTAACTGGAGGTTTTAAAGGGTACTTTCTTCAGCATTTGAAAGAGTAAACTGAAATAACGTCTCTGGTATGCAAACAGGTATGCACATGAGAAAGGGTGAGGATAGCTTTTAACATCTACTGAACTAAACAGGTGTTAAATACAAGATTACAGGAAAATGTAAAGAAAGAGTTATGTAAAATGCAGTCAGTTCCTTCACAGCCTGAGTCTTCCCTGCAGAAGCGCTGACCAGAAAGCCCTGGGGAGGCTCAGGCCTTGAGGGAAACAAAATGCTGGATTTGACCTTTTTCCTCTGTGGGAGTTTTAGGAGTTAAGTGGGCTGATGGCAGAGAGAGAAGTATTTTGTTTTCAATCTCTGTTTAAACAATTACCATATTTATTTAGTTACTCCACAAATACAGGAAAATAACTTGGTGATAAAAACTGATGTTCTACAGACTTCCAGGCTGCAGCGTGATCCCTTCTTGTTGTCAATAACTTGAAAATTGTATTTTCATTTGCTTGTGGAGCAAAAGCCTGGCCTGCTGTCATTAGGCTGAGCAGCCAGTGCTGTAGTCATGATGCTGTCAAGTGTAGCAGAACAAATTCTTTCACAGAAGTGATAAAAATGCAAGACAAAATAGGCAGTTCTGTTGTGTTGAGCTTTAAAAACACACCGAACCTCGAAAATGTTCCCGTGTGGATATTTTGGTATTGAGGTGAGCACAGCCTCAGGGACAGAGAGTTCATCTAAAAACTTCTCTGCAGAATGGTAAAGCCTGTCTGTCCCATGCAAAGCTTCTGTCCATACCAGAGGCAAATGTTACAGTGGGGAAGGTTGTAACTGCAGGGAGGCAGATTAATAGGAGAAAATGCAAGGAAAAGGGCAAAGTCCTGTTCTCCCAAAGAACCGGGAGTGGTTAAACCTCCCTTCTAATGCTGGATGAAGCACGGCCTTGGCAGGTCACAGCCTGATTATTCCAAATCTTGAGAGAGGAGAAAGGATGCATGTGTACAGCCTTCATTTTCACACCCTGCTTCATGTGTGCAGTCTGCACTTTTCCTAATAAAGAGCAGGGGACCAGGATGAGTGTCAGGATTTGCTTTGCTGGAACAGGCCTGGAGCTATTCCAGCGTGGAGATGTGCACAGTACATGCTGTCCGGGAAGGCTGACCCACACTGCTCTGGGTATTCACCTTCAAATTGCACCAGGACAAGCATTTACGTAAGTGACAAGTGAAAAGAAAGCAGTATAAAGCTTTACCAGTTTGAGAGGAGAGCACTCTTGTGCTCAGCTTTACAAAGCAGCAGCAGATCAAACATGCCTTACCCACTCAAGCACTATAGACAGCATTTGTCATTACATCTGTGTACCTGGGTTGAAACCAGTGGTATAAATCTGATCTAATGAAATGAAATATCAGAATTTTATTTGTAGCAGTGCCATTATGGCACCGTGCCTCCATCCTGCCTGCTAGCACAACCTATGACTACAAGACCCAGGTTTCTATTCAGTGGTTATGAAGTGCTTTAAGAGTCTCAGAGGGAAGGCACTATAGAAAAAACAGTTTCTTCCTGCTACTGTTTAACCAGGCAGCTATTCCAGTCTGTTGACTGATATTTCTCTGCGGTGCCTTCTGCAGCTTTCAAATAATGGGGCCACTGGCTTGAACTCTTGTCCTGAATCTTTATGAGACAGTCCTGTATCAAAAGGTGTCAGGAATACATAATCATGTCCTGGCTTTGTGTTAAAGAGAAACCCTGGGGTACACAGTTATATATACATAGTAAAAAGATTTTACTTCTACTCTAAATGATAGATTAGTACTTTTCAACAAATTCCTTGTTTGCTTATTGAATGATGTAGCCTTTTGCTTTCCATTAGGCTCATTTTATTTCTTTTTGTAAAACAGAAGCCTTAGCAAATACAATTTACTTCAGTACCAGTGCTGACTCTGAATGCACTGAATGTATGTAAGCTACAGTTTTATGGGGATTGTGCTTCCTGTGATTTAGAGTCTGAGTACTAAAAAAAGAAGAAGTGCATATACATGTATAAAGTGTGAATCTGTATGCTCATGAATGCACTAGCACATCACATTACAAGTAAGGCTTGCAATTTTAAGGTATGCACAATCAAATCCCTGTTTGTTCATCTGTCCTTAGAAAGGGACACCTTCTGGGAAATCAGGTGTCCCAAGGATGGGTGGTCAGCACTGCCTGAAAACTGGAGTTACCCTTGGCAGCACAAGCTGAGCACTTGAACACACGAGGAACTAAGATTAATTTTAAATCCACTTTTTAAAATTCTAATATTTTCATGTCAAACCTGCTACTCCCTGGAGCAAGGGTATTTACACTGAGTGAACTTTAGGAAAGAAAGCTGGACTGCAACTTTTTGTTACTATTTCTCTTTCTAACCTGACCTGGACAAAAGTTCAAGTTAAGCATTAGACTAAATTAAAGATTTGCCAAGCCCAAACCGTAATGCTTACTTCATGAATGAGAATGGTATAAAATGCATATTTTAACACTTCATTTTCTATTGTTCAAATCCTAAATTAAGAAAAAAAAAAAAGTGTGTGGGTTAAGGTACATGATAGAAAGCTGTCATGAAATGTTAATGGTCACTAAGCATCTGGAGACTGAGACTCTGGAGTAGGACTTCCTGGTAGCTCAGCTCATGTTCACTCACTCGCGTAGTGGATGTTGTCACTGCTATTGCAACTCGAGAGCTATATAGAGATGGTTTATTTCCTTTGTTTTGTCCTTACTGTATCACTGGCTTTCTTTATAAACGAAATGGCAGAATAAAACACAAGTCTAAACAACAGGTAAATTAAATGCCATAATTAAGCACAGGTCCTAGCTTCTCTTTACCCAGTCCTCCTATTCCAGTGCTCTTCTGCAGTTTTAACTGAATAAAATGACTCAACTCCTGTCAGCTGGAATAACTCCTGCCAACACTCCTGTCACCTTTAAAGATGTGCCTGAAGAAGTATTAGCAAAATGGAACAAAATCATTCCCCTGTTCTTCATGGTTATTATTCATAGAGCTATTAATTATTACCTAAGGCACACAGATACAGCGCATAAACAGTTGCAACATATGAAAGACAAACTTTGCAGAATCTGTTACTTCACCGTGATTACAAAACAACAAATGTGAAAAAAAAAACAAATGCAAAACCTGCTGGGACAGAATTACTGGCAAGGAAATGATTGTGCTGGAAGAGAAATGGCCTTATTCCTAATAATACAAGTTATTAAACGTTCCTCTGTCATTTACCCCTCTTTTTAGAGCTGAAACAAAGTGACTTACTCTTTCTCCGGATGCCAGTGGATGGGTTTGTCACCGCCCGGCTTCCCGCTTGGCCGAGCTTGCTGAGGCAAGGATGCTCGGCTGTGGCTGGGAGCAGGGTCAGCCTGCGAGGCAGGCGGCAGTGCCGGCTCTCCCACTCGCTGCTGTTCGTTTATATTTTCGCTGGCTGGCAACCCATGCCGTTCCCCTGACTACCTGGAGAGCAGTCCAAGGTCTGCCCCTATCGTTAATGCCATCGCAGTAGGATCCCTACCTCTCTATAACCTCTGCTCCCTTGCCGTCGGGTGTGCTGTCCTACACAAAAGGCTCGCCTGGCAATGCTTAGAGGTGACTGACAGCCTCCCTGCTAGCTCTAGAAGGGGAGCTGGGATGTATCCAGGCAGAGGGAGCTGGTGTTCACGGGGAGGTGGCCAGCCTCGGCACAGGCAGGGAGTTGGGACCTCTAGCGTGCTGTGCTCTCCTCCCAGCACGACGCTGGCCCTCCCCTTGGGGAGCTCCGTGACCGTCCCCTCGGGACATATTCTGCCCTGCCCGCTTTCCAGGGACTTTGTGTGTAGGCTTAGAACAGCAAAACCCCACGTCCAGTTGGAAAGCCTGCTCGCTCAACTGGAAAGAGGAACTCAAAAATTTCAGGCACAACTTAGCAGAGGCACGTTCTGGCTCTCAACCACAACTTAAACTCTCTAGATGCTTCTCTATGACCCAGTCTGGGAAACAACATCTTTGTAACACGTTTTACAATGCTGTTACCATAGGAGAGTACCTACTGAAAGCTCCGATACCAGGCTAGCCTGAATAACCAGGGGGATTGTTTGTAAGGACAGGCCAGTCATAAGCAGCTTCACAAGGAAATGCAGTAGGAGCATCTTAAAAAGTAAGAATTGCTGCGATTCAAATGAAAATATATTTTCTGCTTTATCAAAAACAGTGCCTGGCCTTTACATGCCCAAGATCTCTTTGGGAACTACTGATGCTGTTACCTCAGAAAGGGCATTTGGCCAGGAGTTAGTGTCATTTAAGTTCAGTTCAGATTTGGGCATTTTATTATCACTGAAACCAATGGAAGTTAGACACTAAAATGCTGCTGTGATTGAAGCCCTGCCTACTCATTTATGAGACTTATTGCTTATGCAAATATAAAGGAAAACATCTAACTGATTGTACTACCAATATTTCAGGCAAGATGTCTGGGTTATGAACATGGGATTTCTGACTGCACTTTTTCCTGGAAGAGCTCTGTGTGAGAGAATTCAGCCCACTCTTGCCCCTATTCAGAACTGAAGGAGCAGTATTTCTCTCTGCCCATCAGAAGTTCATTCAGAAGCCTGAATTCCCAAGATGCCCGTTCAGCTCCTGAAAGAGAGGTGCTCTGGGGAGCCCTCTTTTGTAAGAAATGCATGGGCTGTGCATCAGGCAAACATGAGAAGCACACAGGATCTGTTTGCTAGAGTACTTCTCTGTTGTTAATGTTGCACTATAAGAGATACTTTGCCTTACTTGTGTCATGCATAAGTTAGTGATGAATTTATCTCTCTATCCACTAAGCAGAAAGTCTGTTTATTTCAGGATAAACTCTACTTTAAGCCTTCTTGAATGCATCTATTAGGGGGAAGACCATCATCCCCTCTTTGCTCCAAACCATCCTTAGCTTTATGTTTTCCTAACGTGTCTTTATTTCTGGTAATTTCAGTTTTCTTCTTGGCTGTTGGGTGTTGTCAAGTAATTTAAGAGAGGGTCTGCCTGGCAGCCAGCCCAGTAGCCCAGCTGTGGAAACTGAGTGAACGTGGGTTTGACACCTGTATGCACTTCCACTGCAAGGAGCTGTTACCAACAGGTTCGGAGCAACTCTGACGGGACATCCTCAAAAACAAGCATTGTCATTCAACAGTCCAAAACATAAGAAAAGGGTAAACCAATAACACATCTTCCTTAACCAGACTGTAATCTTTTCTTGCAAAATATTATCAGGCAGAAGCAATACAAAAGAAAATGTTAGGTATTAAGGCTGGCTCATCTTTCCTTTGTGCAGGGCTGAGGTCCCTCTGAGTGCCAGCCCTGCCCTTCAGCATACCAACTCATCCCCCAGTTTGGTTTGTTTTATATTGAATTATTCAGCCCAGTCTTTGAGCTCAGCACAGTGTTTGCCTCACGTTGCTGTATAGCTTCAGCTGTAGAAAAACTCAAAGCATTTGAACAACACTGATAGCTTCAGCTTTATGCTAAACATGCTGACAGTTCCTATGAAGTGAGATTTCAGTACCTGGCTGTAGCTACACAGGGGAGGCAGCTTTCAAAGTCTGTGGTTTTCCTCAAAAGACTCTTTTCCCAGCTGCTTACCTAGCAGGGGGAGAGGGCGGTGGAGCTGGTGTCTGCAGTTCTGCTTGGTGCAAGGCTGCCATCCTGTGGCACTCAGCCTGTCCGTGGGCACAAGCCAGGTCTCAAACATCTACTAGTACCAGTTATTAATATATGAACTGGAGTAATACCTGGGCGCAGCTAACATCATACTGCTATATATACAAGCTGCAGCACAAACGGAGAGGAGCCCCTGCCTTGAAGGGTCCAGAAAGAAACAGGAAGCCAGAAGCAGAGCTTCTGAAGTCACACATGGGGATGGGGTGGGAGAAACCAGTGGGCTCTGTCATTTAAATGACAGCACCTTTTCCTTCCTGTCTTCCTGGAGTATAATCCGTGCTGACAAGCCTTTCCTGGCTGCATGAGAGAAAACTCTCCCTATTCCAACTGAGTCTCTGAACTATGTGAAAACTACAAAACCCCAACTGGTGAAGAGTTCACTGTTTCAGTTGTAGCTTCCTTCGTCACAGAGGCTGCTCACGGCGCTGTGCTCCAGCTGTGGGTGAGTTAGCTGACTCTCCTGGACACATTAAGCACTGAAACCCAGGAAGGCAGAGCTCAAAGAGGTCTGAAACCTTGTATAGTCCATTCCCTAAGCTGGAAGATGCTCCATAAGCAACTTCAGACCATCTTTTAAATCTTCACTGAAAAAGATCCCAATGCCTTCCAGTTTAACTCATTTCATACTTAATCAGACTTAGCATTAGGAAACATTCCTGAGCATATAACCTGCAAATAAAGTAAGCTGGTTTTCCTCTCACTCTTAGTGGTACACGTATTTTAAAAATATATTATTAAATGGTCATTTTGAGTCTTCCATTTTCTAGAACAAACAGCTCTGTCACCTGTGCTCCTAAGCCAAGTTTGTGGTTTGACTTTGCCAAGATGAGAGCTGAAATCCAGCCCACTCTTAAAGCCTTCCTTAAGCCTTTTCCTTCTGACTCACTGCATCTAGTGGGGTCACTGCAGCAGGAGTGTGCCCTCTTTTCTACCTGTGGTAGCTGTCTGCTCAGCCGAATTGCTACCACAAGCAATCAGCAATCTCCGCAGCACCATAGTCCATTAGCTGGAAATTTCTTCTTCTCTTAATTGGTAAATTACTTCCCTGAAGACCAGACTCTGCAATATGCTAGGCAGCCCCATCCCTGTCATTTCAGCTCTCACAACACTGCAGGATCTCTGACAGGTTCAGAGCCAGGCTGAGGGATGGATATGAGCCTTGCCTGGTTTCAGCTCTGTTTCATGGGCTCATAAGTGAGCCAAGTGGCTTTTATCCAGCACTGCTCCTGCTTATGTCCACATGTCTCAGTATGTCATCATGGGGAATGGTAACATGTTCCCATTTGTGTGTAAAGTGGACAGCCGCAAAAGCAGTTGCATAAGATGATTGATGCCTTTTGCCATTTGTCTTTAAAGGAAATTAAATACACCTGTTAGCTCTTCTGTGTATGTGCATATGTGCACATATACATAGATTCTTGAATCATGAAATTATTCTGAGTTTCAGTGCTCCTTCAGGAAGAATGTGAAGGTTAGAGACTGGGATGTTTTTTTCCCTTGTTCTAGGCATTGTTCTTCTGTAAGTGTGAAGAGAAACCCTGTAATGCATCAGAAATTCTACAGCCTCAGGTGAATAAAAATAAGCAGCAATTTGGCAAGAGGCTAAGGAGTGGACAGGTTTTATGGAACAGAGTATACATGCCACAGTTTGGTTTAGTATAATATCTCATATGCTGACATAAAGTAAGAATAAACACATTATATATATACATGTTACAGTAGTATTAAAACCATGTGAATTGATTGATGATTGAATGTGATAAATTGATGCTTACTTCTGAGTTGCTTAGGGTTAACTGTTAGGGTTGGTAGTCACTGTTCAGTATCATCCATAAGGTGAACTGAATGTTTTGTCCTGTTGCCAAGGGATAGCATTTCTAAACAAACACCAAAGAACCTCACTTCCACACTTGGCAGCAACCAGTGCTCATCTGAACCTACAGGCCAAGAACTGTGTACACATAAATGAGATTATCTCTCCATCTAAAGCTTGAGAAACCTGATGGAAAACAAGGAAAGAAGCTAGCTGTACTGATAGCCAGATTATTTCAGAGGATGTAACTTTGGTTGTGTTCCTTCTCAGAAGGAAGCCAAAGAAATGTGCCTAGCCCAAAATGTGGAGCCCACCTGACGCAGTATTTTTTCTCGAGCATAGCCATGTCTGCTCCTACTGCTCTACGTACAGTACAAGCAGTTTTATGGCAAATAAAATCTCAACAGAAATAAATCTACTCCTGTTGAAAGCGGTTGCTTTGAAGACCTTATACTGACTTCATCCAGTCCAACAGGCGATTTTGAGGAGTGTAATCCTGTACTTAACTGTATTTTCTCATTGCATGCCATAGAAAAAAAATTTAATTTTATTTTAATGTTGCTTGAAAAAGCTGAGCAGAATGGGCCTCACCCATAATGAGCAGGCATTATTCTGCTGCACTAATATGGGGCATATGCTGCACTAATATGGCACTAATATGTAGGCCTGGGCTTACATTACACAGAATGACTGCAATATTATTTTGTTTAGGAGCTATACGTCATGACTTTCTTGTTGGCCTGGAGTTAGTCATGTCCAACAACATCTAGAGGAACTGTGCCATCAGTTATGGATGTAATTTTTGCTGTGGAGACAGTCATCTGCTAACAGCTAAAACATCCAGCTGATTTCATGTGCGGCACCATTGTTATGGTTGTTATGCCTAGATTTCAGCTGGCATGTGGCTCTACTGATCACGGCTTTGTGTCTGGGTGGAGATTCTCAGTAAAGCTCAGCTCTCCC